TGACTATTAGGCATCCGAGTGAAGAAAAGTCAAGCAGGCAATTAGATGTTCTCTATCCTAGAGTTCAGGGGAGCGATTCAGTGTAGATAAATTGTGAGTTGCCAGTATATACACAGTATGCCTTTACAAGCCTAGGTAATTCATCACCTAGGGTGTGAGTTTAAACAGAAAAAGAAGGGGTCCCATGACTGAGTCCTGGGATTTCAACATTTAGAGGACAGGGAGACGAGGAAGAACCAGAAAGTAACTGAAAATGAAAAGCTAGAAACTGAAATAAGAAAACCAGACAATTGTGGTGCCCTGAAAACCAGGAAAAAAACAAAAGCATTCCAAGGGAGAAACAGTTATTCACTATGACAAATGTTGCTGATAAGCTAGGTAAGATGAGCACTGGATTTAGCAATTTGGGGTCAGTACTGATCTTGAAGGAGCCCTGGTAGTGCAGTGGTTAAAGCACGTGGCTGCTAACCAGAAGGTTGGCGGTTCGAACCCACCAGCCACTCCATGGAGAATGATGTGGCTGTCTGCTTCCCTGAAGACTTCAGCCTCAGAAACCCTATGGGACACTTCTACTCTGTCCTATAGGGTCACTATGAGTCAGAATCAACTCTACAGCAGTGGGTTTGGGTTTGTTTGTTTGTTTTTTTAATAGATCTCGAGAAGAGAAATCTTAGTGGGATAGGTTCAAAAGATAATCGGAAAAAATATGAGACAATGAGTTAAGACAACTCTTTCAAGGAGTTCTGCTAGGAAGGGAAGGGGAGAAGAAGGGGCAGAGAACAGAGAGGGAAGGATAGGCAGGGGAGGAAAGAGGTGAGGGAAGGGAAAAGGAAAGGAGACAATAACAACATGTCTGTGAATGGTTAGGAATGGTCTAGTAGGAACAATTCACGTTGTAGAAGACATGGACAACACTTCTTTATGTAAACAAGTTTATAATAAAAACTTCGGGAGGGGAAACCTTAATAATCATCAAATTATATTATGGCAAATCTACACTATATTTTATTATGTACCTGTTCACAAAAAAAAAAAAAAAAAGAAGAAGCAAGAGCTGTGGGTACTGGCATGAAAATATATCCAAGGCATATTATTTTAAAACAAGTTAAAGATTCTAAGTATAGTTTAATAGTTTAAATGAACTTATATTAAAACTGTAAGAAGACTAGACTAGACCGTTGAGTCACAGCAACCCTATATACAACAAAAGGAAACACTGCCTGATCCGGCGCCATCCTCACAACTGTTCTTATGCTTGAGCCCATTGTTGCAGCTGCTGTGTTCATCCATCTCATTGAGAGTCTTCCTCTTTCTCGCTGACTCTCTACTTTACCAAGCATGATGTCCTTCTCCAGCAACTGGTCCCTCCTGATAACATGTCTGACGTATGTGAGACGAAGTCTCACCATCCCTGCTTCTAATGACCATTCTGGCTGTACTTCTTCCAAGACAGATTTGTTCATTCGTCTGGCAGTCCATAGTATATTCAATATACTTCGTGCACACCATAATTCAAAGGCATCAATTCTTCTTTGGTCTTCCTTATTCATTGTGTAGCTTTCACATGATTATAAGGCCAGTGAAAACACCATGGCTTGGGTCACGTTGCACTTTAGTCCTTAAAGTGGCATGTTCGCTTTTAACACTTTAAAAGTGGTCTTTTGCAGCAGATTTGCCCAATGTAACGCATCATTTGATTTCTTGACTGCTGCTTCCATGGGCATTGATTGTGGATCCACATAAAATGAAATCCTTGACAACTTCAATCTTTTCTCCATTTATCATGATGTTGCTTATTGGTCCAGTTGTGAGGATTTTGGTTTTCCTTATGTCGAGGTGTAATCCATGCTGAAGGCTGTGGTCTTTGATCTTCATCAGTATGTGCTTCAAGTTTTCTTCACTTTCAGCAAGCAAGGTTGTGTCATCTGCATAACGTAGATTGTTAATAAGTTTTCCTTCAATCCTGATGCCCTATTCTTCTTCACATAGTCCAGCTTCTTGGATTATTTGCTCAGCGTACAGACTAAGTATGGTGAAAGGATACAACCGATGTACACCTTTCTTGACTTTAAACCATGCAGTATCCCTTTCCTGTTCAAATGACTGCCTCTTCATCTATGTACAGCTTCCTCATGAGCACAGTTAAGTATTCTGGAGTTCCCATTCTTCGCAATGTTAGCTATAATTTGTTATGATCCACACAGTCGAATGCCTTTGCATAGTCAGTAAAACACGGGTAAACACCTTTCTGGCATTCTCTGCTTTCAGCCAGGATCCATCTGACATCAGCTATGATATCCTTTGTTCAACGTCCTCTTATAAATCCGGCTTGAATTTCTACTCAACTGCTGCCACCACTTTTGAATGATCTTCAGCAAGATTTTACTTGTGTGTGATATTAATGATACTGTTTGATAACTTCTGCATTCTGTTGGATAACCTTTCTTTGGAATGGGTTAAAATATGGATCTCTTCCAGTCAGTTGGCCAGGTAGCTGACTTCCAAATTTCTTGGCATATACAAGTGAGTACTTCCAGCACTGCATCCATTTGTTGAAACATCTCAACTGTAGTTCTGTTAATTCCTGGAGCTTGTTTTTTGCCAATGCCTTCAGTGCAGCTTGGACCGCTTACTTCAGTATCATCAGTTCTTGATGATATGCTACCTCCTAAAATGGCTGAACACAGACCAATTCTTTTTGGCACAGTGACTGTGTATTCCTTCCATCTTCTTTTGATGCTTCCTGCTTTGTTTAACATTTTCCCCCATGAAATCCTTCAATACTGCAACTCGAGGCTTGAATTTTTTCTTCATTTCTTTCAGCTTGAGAAATACTGAACGTGTTCTTCCCTTTCGGTTTTCTATCTCCAGGTCTTTGCACATTTCACTGTAATAGTTTATTTTGTCTTCTCAAGCCGCCCTTTGAAATCTGTTCCGCTCTTTCACGTCATCATTTCTTTCTTTCGCTTTAGCTACTCTACGTTCAATGTATAGAAATATAATGCATAGAAAAGGTCTAGAATGACTATTCAGATGACTACCTCTGGGAAAAGGAATGAAATTAACTGTGGTGGGATAAAGGGAGTTCAAATCTTTTAGATTTTCACTACTGGTACTTCTGTGTTACTTCAAATTTTGACAATAATGTATTCATGTAATTTTTTATATAATTAAAAAGAGGAAGTTATTTTAACGTATTCTGTTGTTGGTAAATATACAGAAAAAATTCTAGAATGATACATTCCCAAACACTGATAGCAATTACTTCTGAGGAGGGTGCTTCAGGTAGAAGGGGAGAGGACTTCATTTTTTGCTTCATACACTTCCGCATTGTTTGAAACTTTACCTTTAAGTATTCAGTTGTATGAAATGATACAGAATGTACAAAAGTTCTCAGGTAGGATATAAAAATGGCTGCTCTCTGTAGAGGCTGCTAAGGAGAACTAACCAAGACGAAGAACCAAGGCTGAAACATTTGATGGGAGAATAGAGGCATTTTTCAGGTGATCAGATGAAATGCTTTCCAAGAATAAGGTTCTTAGAGGAGAATTTATTAGTCTTAAATTACAAGCCAAGCAAGAAAAAAAAAAAAAAAAAGGAATCTTACAATACAAGATTGAAAAGGAAATAGCAAAGAAAACACTGTTTTTTATTCTTCCTTACCATGTTTTGCCTTGTTAACTGAGAGGAGAAACATAAAAAGACATATTAGCAAGGAAGGGGAAAAGTATGAACTTTAATAATGAGAAAACCTAAAGACAGATTTAAATACAAACTGCCAAGGGTAGAGGACTTTTAAACATTAAGAAAGGGAGAGTAATGTTTGAGTCAAATTGATAAGTGAAAAAGAAGAAAAAAATAAAATTAGTTGTTGTTAGGTAATAAATTAGTAATAAGGTGGAATTTTTCATACCACTTTAGCAACAGAGCCTAGTTTTATAAACAAAAGCATAAAAGACAATCTCAACATAAAAAATAAGTAGGTGGGGCTGCTCTAACTGAGGTAGAGGGAATGGGCTCTGCCCCCCTGCTTGGTATCACCCATGTCCTAAAGCAAACTAAGGGAACAGAGAATACAAATCGAAAACCACTGTTCCAAAGCATCATTTAAAAATATGTATTACTGTTTACTTGATAAAGTTATTTGATTCATGTTAATTGTACATATAATATTTTTGTGGTGTGTTTTCAGAAGAAGATTGAGATTAAACAGAAAAACATGCTAAAATTTTAGAATTAACATGGATTGTAGTCTTTAACCTCTCTAAGACTTATCTGTCTCAACTGTTAAAAGGGAGTAACACCTATTACACAGAATTGACCTATACATAAAGTAAATTATTTTTATAAAAAACAGCATATTACCAAAAAATATAAAGAACTCAGTGAAGGTTTTTTTTTTTAATTACTAGCTATAATTATTGCTAGTGAGTCAGTCAGCACACGTAAGTAGCTGGGTAAATCTTCTTGAGGGGCTCCTAAAACAAGTGTAAGATAAAATGACGACTTAAAAGAAACAGACAAAATAAAGAAAGAAAAATCCTTGGAAAATATTGATCCTGAATACCTTATGAGCATACTGATTTGTGTTTGTGCAAATTTTCCAATAAAATAATGCACAAATTCTAAATTGAAAATCTCTCTCAGATCATAAACTAGTATCATACCTGATGAAATATTTTCTCATAATAGAAGGCTGAGTAATTTCATTACCAAAATCCTTTCCTGTTTAGGGGCTATATTCCTAGAAAGCTTCACAGTGGATATCAAAATTCTGACTTATAAAAACAGTATCCTACAAAATTAATTTACATATTTTTTTTTTTAATGTTTCAGCTCTAACAGCCATAAAGGAAACTCACAAAATTTTAAATATTACCAAACTGAACCATGCTTCATTTTTAATTCTGCAGAACTATGTATAAAATGAAGTAATAAAGACATGCTGACATTTGAAAATTTTGAATTCTATGTATTTTCGTAAGTTCATACATATAAAATTACATTTTTATGACAGAATAAAAGCATACTTTTTGATATGATATACTTTCAGCTGTGTGAACATCTTCCTGATTTCTCAGTACTTTTTGTGTGTCCATGTTGAGAACCTGAAGCTGCTGGATCAGCTCTGCTTGCTGGGCTGTATGTGCACTATTCTGCTTGTAAAGATTCTGCAGCTCCTGAAGCTCCTTCCTGAGCGAAGTAAGCAATAAATAGAGGGAGGCATGACTAAAGATCATCTCAGTTAAATAATTGTGTTCTCATAGGATTATAGATCAGCTTCCTATTTTGCATCTATTATTTTTTTACAGCAGACAAACTTAGTAATAAAAGAAATAATATATAAAGTATTTAATATTTATCACATACACCTAGAAAGTATTGATAGAACTGCTATGAGTTTCAAAGCCAGATATGGATCAATTTTCTTTTACAGCTTGATAGTAATAAAAACCCTGGGTATGCAGTCATAGTATAACCTTCTTATTGAAATTAAGTTAACAGTTCAATTCCAAGAATTGATAAGCACCGATGCCAACAACAGTTATAAGAGTTTTGAATACACGGTAAGTCAAACTTTCATTACATATTAGACAGAACTTTAAATGTATTAAAAGGAATCTCAGTAGGCAAATTAAGTTTTCAAACCAAAGTTCATTAAAGCACCACTGCCGATTCTAGTTTGCAACCTCAGAAGCCTGAGATTCTGGTGGCTCCTTGTTATGGATTGAACGGTGTCCCACAAAAATGTGTATCAACTTGACTAGACCATGATTCCCAGTATTGTGTGACTGTCCACCATTTTGTCATCTGATGTGATTTCCTATGTGTTGTAAATCCTACCTCTATTATGTTAATGAGGCAGGATTAGAGGCAGTTATGTTAATGACACAGGACTCAAGATTAGGTTGTGTCTTAAATCAATCTCTTTTGAAATATAAAAGAGAGAAGTGAGAAGAGAGAAAGGGGGACCTCATACCACCAAGAAACAAGAGCCAGAAGAATAGCGTGTCCTTTACTCAAGATTAGGTTGTGTCTTAAATCAATCTTTTTTGAAATATAAAAGAGAGAAGTGAGAAGAGAGAAAGGGGGACCTCATACCACCAAGAAACAAGAGCCAGAAGAATAGCGTGTCCTTTTGACCCGGGGTCCTTGCACTGAGAAGCTCCTCCACCAGGGAAGATTGATGATAAGGACCTTCCCCCAAAGCTAACAGAGAGAGAAAGCCCTTCCCTGGAGCTGGCACCCTGAACTCAGACTTCTGGCCTCCTGGACTGTGAGAGATTAAATTTATCTTTGTTAAAGCCATTCACTGGCTGGTATTTCTGTTGCAGCGGCACTAGATAAATAAGATAGAATTTGGTAACAGGAGTGAAGTGCTGGTCTAAAAGATACCTAAAATGTGGAAGCAGTTTTGAAACTGTGAATGGATAAAGGCTGGAAATGTTTTTAACTGCCTAACAGTAAAAGCCTAGATTGCCTTGAAGGGAATTACGGTGGAATTTTGGACGTCAAGGACAATTCTGGTGAGGACTCTGAAGGAGGTGAAGAAAGCTGTTACACTTGAGACGGCGCAGAAGGCAAGAAGCAGCAGCAGAGAAATAGCAGCAGCATAACAAGGAGATCAGCACAAGACAGCCATGGAGCCAACCCACGAAGCAAGCTGAGTGCCTGTGCGCAAGAGGCTTCCTGACAGAGTGGGGTGCCTCCAGGTACTTACCAGTGGAGTTAGGCTAGCCAACCCGACCCACCCACAGGGGCCAGAGAGCTGAGTGCCTTCCAGCTGAAGTTTACTGGTGGAGTGGGGTGCCTCCAGGTATTTATCAGTGGAGCTACAGAGCTTTGGAACATTTGCCCCAGCAGGGCAGATGGGGACAGTGAGGCGCAAGGGACCGAGAGGCCAAAAAACCAGGAAGCAGAAGCTTAAGAGAAAAGGAACACAGGAAGCAGAGCCACCTCAGTCTCAATGGGTAGGGCCACAACCTCTGGCGTGCCAAAAGGTGGGTCTCCATTCAGATGAACTAGGATAACAGGGCTGCCCAAATTCGAGGGAGCAGAGCTGTCATTCCAATGGGCCTGGAAGGTGGAGCTGAAGCCCAGGCCTCCACTCAGAATCCAGAGAGTGTGGTGAATACCCAGAGTCTGGAGGGCAGGGCCCTTGTCTAAATGGTCTCAGAGAACAGAGGATTATTTTCAAGCCTTGAGAGCTAATGAAATGTGTTCTGCTGACTTGCTTGGTGCGTGTTACCCCTTCTTTCCCTCCAATTTCTCCCATTTGTAATGGAAATATCTAGCTTGTGCCTGTTCCACCACTGTACTTTGGAAGCAGATAACTTGTATTCTAGATTTCACAGATAAAGAGGAATTTTGCAGAAGATGAGATTCTGGACTTAGAGTTGATTTAAGACTTGCTATGATATGATCGGAGACCTGGTGGTGCAGTGGTTAAGAAACTCCTCAACCAGGGAAGATCAAAGATAAGTATCTTCCCCCAGAGCTGAGAGAGACAGAAAGCCTTCCCCTGGAGCTGGCACCCTGAATTCGGACTTCTAGCCTCCTGGACTGTAAGAGAACAAATTTCTCTTTGTTAGAGCCACTCACTTATGGTATTTCTGTAAAAGCAGCACTAGATAACCAAGACACTCCTGTAAACCAGTTTGAAGGAAATGATGAGACAACAAATCAGAAGGAAGGGGAGCTACACAAGGGCAGATCAGTCCTTCTAACCCACCCAGGGTGAAACTGACAGAAGTTCACATAAAAACAAAACAACTGTTAACACTTTACCCACCAAATCATAGTACATCAAAACACATACATCAAAAACTATAAGCAATAAAAGGAAAATTGTTTGGTACCTATATGAGAAGGAAAGAACCCATTTAAAATAGCAACAAAAAACATGAAAGAGCAGGAATAAATTTAACAAGAAAATTTCAAAACTCATACAAGGAACTTAAAACACTTAGGATACAAAGATAGACTAAGACAAATAGAATGACATACCATACTCTGGGACACGAAGACTGAACACCATAAAGATGTCAACTCTCTTTAGATTTACTTGTAAATGTGATGTTCTAATAGAAATACCAAATAAGAAGTAATATTATTCTAAGTTTCATATGGGAAAATCCATAAGCAATAATGATGAGGAAAGCTCTAAAAAGAAGCAGTAATGGAGAATGTGCCGTATGTTTTCTTATTTGCTCATCAACATCTCTACCCCACTGTCTACCCTGAGAGGCCAACCTCTACAGACTGCACTTGCACTAACTCCTTGTCCTCCGGCTCTGACTGAATTTGATCAGTGGGAGGAGGTAGCGGAAGGAGATTAGAGGGTAAAGAGAAGAAGGTCAGGGTACTGATTTCCCTGGCTTCCTCACTGCTGAACCACAGTCTGGCAGTGGATTGTGTTCCACTGCTCCTATCAGACAGCCTCCCTCCCAGGGCTACACTTCTCACTTAGATCTGGTAACAGCTCTTCTCCTTGCCTCTTGTGAACCAGGTGTGGTAATGGCTTCTCATTGTTGCTAATCTGTGATTGGTATTATACTGAATTGGAACGTCTATTTGGAGACAATTGACATCTTTATCATACTGAGTCTTCCAAACCATGGAAATTGTATATCCTTCCACTTACTAGACCTTTTATTTCTCTTAATGTTTTACCATTTTCTGTGTAGGTCTTACACGTCTTTCATTATATCTACTCTTCATATTTTACAGATACTGTAAATAATATTATTTCCTGACCAAAATTATGACTGTGATGTCATAACTTTCATTTTTTTTTTGTAGCACATTCAAAACTGACTTTCAAGGAAAAAACTCAAATCAACTGACAAGGAGCGTAGGCTATTCACTTAGCCCACCTTCCTGATCATTGTAGAATCACTACCTATCAAGGCAAAATTTTTGGTTAAGTAATTAAACTGGTTAGGCCCATTTATATAACTTCTAGGCAAATGTATTCAAATGCTCTGTATATATTACATACATATACATCACTATAAATGCAATTATCTGTTTATTTATTTATACTCTAACTCAGAACACTAATTATTTGAGGTAGTTCATAAAAATATCCCATAGTACAATGGTTGACATGGATTAAATATTCAACAGTATTTAAATGATTTAAAAAATTCCAAACATATAAACCTATAACGGAATACAGTTACGTAAACCCCATCATTCATCAATAAGGGAAAGTGTATCCAAATAACTAGGTGCTTAGATCACTTTTCCCACAATTATGGCTTTGTGTGGCTTGAGTACAACATACAGATTCAAAAACGTGATGCTGTAGCTCATAAGCCTTATCCTCCACAGGAAATAAGAGTGATGAAGGAAACAAGACATGTCCAACAGGTAGTCCGTATTCAGAGAACTCAGGAGAAACACTGTAGGCATTTCAACTACTACTTACCCTATTGTTGTTGTTGTTAGTTGCTGTCAGGTCAATTCTGACTCACAGCGAGCCCTACACCGGAGTTTTTAGTCAAAGTACTTTGTTCATCTGGCATTCTGCTTCTAAAAAGTCACAGCCTTAAAAATCCTATAGAGCAGTTCTACTCTTCACATGTGGGCTCAGAATGGACTTGATGACAACTAACAACAACTAACCAATTCTATGCTATTGCCTTCCTCCTCTACGATTTCTTATCATCAACTCTAGCAATTATATATGCTCTATTAGACATTATCCTTTTACCATGGTGTAAGAAAATGCCCGTCTGTGGATATTTTTACCCTGTTTACTATAGCTTATAGCTCTTGCAACACATTAAGTATACAAATTCGGGGCAAATTAGTGGAAAAAACTATTATCCTAATTCCATGCATTTAACACTACACTGTGTCCTAGAATAGATCCATATTTCACCAAATAGCCTAACACCCTCATACTCTAAAATAAGAAGGTAATTGTTAGAATATTTTGTGCCATTCTAGGTGCCATATTTTAAGAATAATATTGATAAAATAGATATTGACAATATAATGCAGCCAGATAGGTAAATCAAATTGTATAACACCTGTGAAAGATTTATGTGCATGAAAACCTTTATGAGGAATATGGGTAATTACTCAATTGATGAAAAAATATAGGAAGTTATTGATAATTTTCTTCTAGTATCTGAAAGGCTGTGCTACATAACAGAGATTAGATCTTCTCTGAGATTCTCCAGATAACAGAATTAAGATAAATGGGTGAAAATGGTGAAAATGTAAATTTCAACTCACTATGGGGAAAAAAAAAAAAGGAGCCCTAGTGGTGCAGCGGTTAAGAGCTCAGCTGCTAACCAAAAGGTCGGCAGTTTGAATACACCAACTGCTCCTTGGAAACCCTTTGGGGCAGTTCTACTCTGTCCTATAGGGTTGCTAAGAGTTGCAATCATTTGATGGCAACTGGTCAGGTTTTTTTTTTGGTTTGTGGGAAAAAATATTCAAAAATTTAAACAAAGTAAAAATGAAAAGAGTAATCTTAAAAAGTTTTGAGAATTTTTTAAAGTGTTAAAGCAAAGACTCAACACTATAAAGACAGTAACTTACTGGGAAGAGGATAATGATAAATGGTCATTTTAAAATTTCTTCTAAGACTTTATTCCTATTTAGAATTGCTTTACTGGCTTAACTACATTACTGGACTAAGAAAATAACACCATGAATTAATAAGCCATTCAGTTTATCATCCATAAAGTTTATACTCCTAACTCTTGTGATAAGAAAAAAAAAAATTGTTCATTTGGTTTAGGTGAGTTTACAGAGCAAATTAGTTTCCTATTAAGATAAAAAAATTTAATGTGATACAATGAATTTGTTAAAATTCTAATTCATTTTAATTGTATTAGCTTTAGTGAAGATGAAAATTTTATCACCCAAAACTAAAATCACAGTGCATATTTAAATTTGCAAAATCATGTTACTTTATGAAATTATAAAAAGTACCTGATATACAGTAATAACTTAATTCCCATACCCATCCCACTAAAGTGAAAGATAATTTATAGCCAACTTTTAACGAAAGAACTCCATCCCAAGCCCTAGCCAGAGCAATTAGGCCAGAAAAAGAAACAAAGGGCATACGAATTGGTAAGGAAGAAGTCAAAGTATCTCTATTTGTAGACGATATGATCTTATACACAGAAAACCCCAAAGAATCCACAAGAAAACTACCAGAACTAATAGAAGATTTCAGCAAAGTTTCAGGATACAAGATAAACATACAAAAATCAATTG